GAATGAGGTAGATTTATCTCCAGGTAATATTTTGAAACAAAATCAAGTTGTAGAACAATGCAAAGAGTAGGTTTCTTGTAAGATACAAGCAACCCCTTAGCCACATACAAGTATGTATTCCAACTTCATGAAGACCTTCTGGAAGGACAGACAAATTGACAAGGAGTCACACACCACGGAGGGTCAGGGAAACCCTTCCTTTCTTCCCATTATATTTCTTTTGGAATTATTTTAGAACTTCAACCTTAATCAATTCACTACCCACATTGTGATCTTATGCGACATAATTGGGGTCTTAAGCTTCAGGCCTCCCTTCCTCCCCTTGGCTGGGTCGGGGGTGGGGAGGCATTGGCCTCTTTTTCTGAGTGGAGCAGGGCTAGTGTGGGGAGATTGTGGCTCTTGCTTAGGTGCCACTAAGGATGTCAATGGATTTCCCCGGCACAGGGGCAGCTATACGCAGCATTGAGGGTGTCTGTCTCTGTTTTCTCATAGTCTTTTGGACATCAATATCTATCAGCATGGACGGGCTAGCCAAAGCCGATGCTACCTTCGTTATTTTCCCTCTGTGCCACATGGCGTCCTTCCTGCCAACCTTCTAGTAAATTCTATTAAAATAGACCAGTGCCCATTAGTCTGTGGGTGCCTCTCAGGCGGTTAAGTGTCGCAATGAATGCAAATTGGAGATAAAGAGGCTTTCTAGGGGGAAAGCCTTCACAAATGCCGAATCAATTACCATTTGATTTACCAACCACAGGAAATCCTTTTCATTTTGGGAGCACTGAACAATAAGTCGTGATTAAAAATGACTGGAATCCCTTAAATGGGACATGAATGCCATGCTACACTGACGTGATTGTGAAGGGCAGGGTCCCCTCTCTGGGGGCTTCCTCAAGGATGCCCAGGGCTCGCTGGCCTCCCCTGCACATGCTCCCGAGGTTTTCCGCCTTTGAGAACATGATGAGTCTGGGAGGCAGGGTTGTCACAGGGCTCCCTAGCATCCCTGACCGGTGGAATTTTCTGTGAGGGGCAGTTTCCACACATTTCCCTCCTTCTGTTAGACATGGAGGCAACTAGAGAGGATCCTGAAGTTACAGTGGGGTGACAAAGACGTGTGTGTGTGTGTGTGTGTGGTGTGGTGTGTGGTGTGGTGTGTGGTATGTGTGTATATGTGTGTTTGTGTGTATGTGTGTGTGTGGTATGTGTATGTGTGTGTGGTGTGTGTGTGTGTGGTGTGTGTGTATGTGTGTATGTGGTGTATGTGTATGTGTGTGTGTGTGTATGTGTGGTGTGGTGTGTATGTGTGTGTGTGTGTGTGTGTGTATGTGCGTGTGTGTGGTGTGTGGTGTGTGTATGTGTATGTGCGTGTGTGTGGTGTGTGGTGTGTGTGTGGTGTGTGTATATGTGTGTTTGTGTGTGTGTGTGTATGGTGTGTGTCTGTGTATGTGTGGTGTGTGTGTGTGTGGTGTAGTGTGTATGTGTGTGTGTGTGGTGTGTGTGTGCATGTATGTGTGGTGAGGGTGTGTGTGAGAGAGAGATCGATAGCTCTTTGAGGTTCTCTTTGTAAACATCTCAGAACTCACCGATTCTCTCCAGTCTACCCAATGTCCTCATCTCCCTGGTCCCCTGTGACCCTTTGTCTCCATGGCACCCCCCCACCGTCTTCTGTTGTGCTGTGAAATGTCCCCTACAGCGTGGTTTCCAGTTGGTGGCACTGTTTGGGGAGGTTTGAGGATTTGGGGACCCTGAGGTTTAAATGGCAGGCATAGGCCACTGGGGACAGGCTTGAGGGCCAGGGCCAGGCTCTGCTTCTGGTCCTGATTTTGTTTCCAATCTGCCAAGATGAGAGGAACCTCGAGCACAAACTCCCGCCTCAATGACCACCACCATGAGGAACCACTTTGTCAGAGAGATGGGAAAAGTAACACATGTCCTCAGAATGGTCACTGTCTTCCCTTCTTGTCCTCACCCGTTCTTAGGTCATGGATCCCACTACGATGCTTCTTCCCGCCACGCCGTCCCTTGCCCCACATAAGCACAGTCTTTGACTTTAAGCACCCAGACCTGCAGACGTTCACAGAGGAAGAAAAAAGCAGCTATGTGGTGTGTGTTAGCTTGCCACTCTAGCCCAGGCCCTTCTGAATTGAATGAGCTTCAAAGGCCTGGGTCACTTGTCCTCAACCTTGTGACCCACAGGTTTGGCTCACGGTAAGAGATCAGCGAAGGAACTCTATGGGACGAGCTGCCATGTGGCTCTCCTCTGTTTGAACCCCAGTAGCCGGGTGAGCTAAAGGCCTGGTCCTGTGTGTTCTCCTTTGGTCTCTTTCTCGGGGCGGTCTCATAAACCTGTGGTCGGGGCAGCTACCTAACGGGCCACTGCCCAGAGGCCCCTTCCTCACAGCTTCTGATTCCTTGATGTAAAGATCAAAGGGGGGCAGTGACGTGCGGGGCAGGCAGGGGGAGGCAGTGACATGCGGGGCAGGCAGGGAGAGGCAGGAAGGGAAGAGAAGGGCAAGGAAGGACTATCCAAAGGCGGAGGCTGGACCCCCCAGCTGTGACGCTGACTGGGAAGTAGCCTACTGAGTCCCTTCTGCTCAAGGCTGTCTGTGACCTTCTCTCTCTCTCCTTGTCATCTGGAGTGTGTGTATGTGTGTGTGTGTGTGTGGGGGGGACGACGACACACTGGTTCTACACACCATCCAGGCTGGTAGAAGCTGGGTATTCTTTTCTCCTCAAGTCCCGGCTGTCATTGGCCAGCATTGCCATCGTTTATGCTGACATGTCCAGTAAGGGAGTGTGGTTGACCATTAGGCACCTTTGCTTCCCATCTCTCTCACTTCCTCAGCGACATTGTTTTTAGTTGGATTTTTTTTTTTTTCAGAATAAATCTGCTATGAGAAACCTTTGTCTGGACCCTTATTTCTCGTCAAAATATTTTTATGCCATGGTCAGGAGATCAGGAGTGAGGCCACGGGAAGTCGGAAAACACAAGCTATCTCCTCGCTCTAGAACACTCGCCAGTAGCCACTGGGCTGATCCCAGCAGTCAGGCAATCCAGCTCACACCCTCCTCCGGAAGCTTTATGGAGCCCTGTTCTGAAGCCTGCAGATCTAGAAAGGGTGAGCTATGGGCACCACTGCCGACTGTCAAAGCTCTGTGAGCATGCAGCATTACAGGTCAGGTCAGACTCACCCACTGAGTACTGGTGACCAACCTTGGGGCCAAGTTTCATAAGATAGCAGTTCTCAACTGGTGGGTCATGATCCCTTTAGGGGTTGCATTTCAGATACCCTACATATCAGATGTTTACATTACAATTCATAACAGTAGCAAAATGGCAGTTATGAAGTAGCAAGGAAATAATTGTATGGTTGGGGTCACCACACATGAGGAACTGTATTAAAGGGTCACAGCATCAGGAAGGTTGAGAATCACTGTCATAAGACATGATTGATGCTGTGAAAGACACAGGCAGGCTTCACTTAAGATCCACCGAAGCACTGGGCGGTGGTGGTGCATGCCTTTAATTCCAGCACTCGGAAGGCAGAGGCAGGAAGATCTCTGTGAGTTTGAGGCCAGCCTGGTCTACAGAGCAAGTTCCAGGACAGGCTCCAAAGCTACACAGAGAAACCCTGTCTTGAAAAAACCAAACCAAAACCAAAACCAAACCAAACCAAACAAAACCTAAAACAACAACAACAAAAGATCCGCTAAGGCCATATGCTCTGGCAGGTTACAGAGACAATGGCTGTAGGGGAGCTGGTCACCCTGGTGCTGTTGGGGAGTGGAATAAAGGATGCCATTCCTCCTTGAATCTGTGCTTAGTATCTCAGGCGAGTGCTTGATTCCATGAACCATCCTTTCTTCTTGCTAATCGGTAGCTAACTTCAGTTTTCTGGATCACTAAACAGGAGATAGGACATGTGGAATTTATTCCTCAACCCCCTCCCCTCTTTGCTCATTATCTGTATGTCTCCAGTCTCCTTCCACCATACAGACCTCATTAACCAGTTATCATACGACTACTGAAGATGCCTTGGTAACCAGCCACACACACACACACACACACACACACACACACACACACACACACACACACTTGTTTATAGATCTATCTATATACCTCCATCACTGCATTCGTCCACATCTCAGGGCTCAGCAGTATGGGTGCCTTGACTTTAAAAAGCATATGTTTACAGATGTGGTAGAATTCTCTACCATCTCTGAAAATCACTCATGAGAATAATGGAGAGTTCAAATGCAATTTACCCAGTTATGTGAAAGAGAAAGAGCTGAGTCCTGAGGAGCTGGGTCAGCAGGTCCATTTGTTTGATTTCACAGCCTATTCAGCACTTAATAGGCAGATACTTTTTCTTTTAAGATTCAAAATAACATGGTGCACACATATATACACTGTTTGGGAGGGTGGGAAATGGTTCCCATTGATCTAAATGGCTTGAATCTCACCTTTCAGGTTTGTGGAAGAGAGGTCTATGTCTAGAGACAGTATAGGTCACTGCACTTGCGGAGGAATGCTACAAGGTATCCCAGCACAGCCTCAAGTGGCCCAGGAGCCTCACCTGCTGCCTCATGCCCCCAACAGACCCACACCTGGGCATCCATGAAGGTGAGAGGTACCTGCCGATCACAGTGAACTTAGGCAGACTCACGGCTCTACTTGTCCCAGCCTAACCGGATGGAGCACCAATCATGGCTGGCTTCTGGGGTGGGGAGGGGCAGAGAAGACTCCACTTACAGCTTTTCTAGCTAAAGAGCTCTTCAGTTTAGACAGGGCTGCATGAGTGTCTGGAGACTCGATGTTCAGATGCCATTTATCATACAAGTGAATGTTCTGCAAGGCTCCCAATGCCTTACAGAATGAATAAGAATGTGATTTATGAGAAGAAACGCCAAAGCCAGGGCGATAAAGAGGTAAGAGTGTAGGGGTTGGTGAAATACTGAATCCACAAGCAAGGTCCCCACAGAGCGACCAGAAAGGATATCTTGCTGGACTGTCCTTAAGGGCATTGAGGAATCCCGTTTGCTGTGAACCTGTGGGAACGAAGCCAACATTTAGTATCCAGACATTCACCCCATGCTCAACACTCTCATCTGCATGACAATAATAAGTGTCTAAACATCAATTAAACAGTCATGTTTGGTGTTAGGGCACCCAGCTTACTGATCAGAGGTCATGATTTCACTGAAGCCATTCAAGAAGATGGCAGATTCATGAGTAGAACCAACATCTGCAGGACATTTTTTTTTCAATGAAAGCAGATGCGTGTCTGTATATTTTCCCATAAATTATAGCTTTGATTGCTCTTTTGTTTTCCTCTTTTTAACAGGAAAACAGAATCCTACATAATCTCTTCTGTTTTGCCCACATCTGTTAACATTTGGCAGTAGAGGTCTTAGGAACTTGGCTGCCAACAGTCTTCCTTCTTGGATGCAGAGTAAACAAAGCTAATATTCATTTACTGACTCTTTTTGGGTGAAGGTGTAGTCCTTGTCCTGTGATCTTGTCCTGCAAGAGAACACTGAGGGGCTTGAGTTCAGCTACATCTGATGAGAGCAGGGACTATTGCAATCGGACTTCAACCAAATTTGAAAGTTATTTTTACTTGTGTATATGTGTGTGTGTGTGTGTGTGTGTGTGTGTGTGTGTGTGTGTGTGTGTGTGTATGACACATGTGTGGGTGCCTGTGGAGATTAGAAGAGGGAGTTGGGTCCTTTGGAGCTAGAGACACAGGTAGTTAAGAGCTGCTCAATGTGTGTGCTAGGGACCAGTTGGAGTCCTTTGGAAGCACAGCAAGCATTCTTAACCAGCCCCGACCTCTGAGGAGGAAGTCTTGGCAATGCTATCTTGGGAGATGATTCTGGGTCCCTCTGTTTTGACTTGAAGCCACTGCGCTTCAGGTGACACAGCCTTGTGCCACAGAATGTAAACTATTAAGCTAGTGTGGCGACCATTACTTCTTTGTGTTGTTTAATTAGCTTAGCCGTGGGGCGGGGTTAGTGAGTGGCAGTGTCCTAGGTCTCTCTGTGTGACTGTCAGTCCATGTCCCACTATACAAAGGTGGAGAGGGAGCTTCACTTGGCTTCACATTTCTCCTCTAGGAACTCCCTCTGTGTGGGTCTGCTGTCCACCACGGAGGCTCGAGGATTGCTGGGTGGCAGCAGGGGCGGCTCATGAGGGAATTACTAATATGGAAAGACAGGTACTTATAGCTTCTCACATCTCCCTCAGTCCAGCAGGGCACAGCCAGCAAATGACAAGCTGCAGGCCACTAGCAAAGGCAATCTCAAAACAAAAGGACTGAAATAAACCCCATTGTGTAGGAACCAGGGTAAATAAAAACTCAGACATTGGTGAAGTGGGATGAACATCATTCTAAGTCTGGGAAGGCAGCAGACTTCACTCTGTGTGTGTGTGTGCGCGCGCGCGTGCGCGCGTGCGTGCGTGCGTGCGTGCGTGTGTGTGTGTGTGTGTGTGTGTGTGTGTGTGTGTGTGTGTGTGAGAGAGAGAGAGAGAGAGAGAGAGAGAGAGAGAGAGTGCATGAAGACAAGTGACCAGGTGTGACGGTGAGAACTTCTGAGGACTAAGAGTGTGAGCGATAGTGTGACAAACTGTACAGGTGTGTGTATATGTTTTCCTGGCATTTATATTCAGGATCAAGCAAGTGAAAACTAGTCCTAAAACTCTAGAATGTAGGGCTGAAGCTAGGAATATAATCTGATAGTGTGAAATGGAAGCATTTAGGACTTCCCTGAAGGATGATAGATTTTAAGCCATGCCTATTGGAACCATGTACAAATTCATTGTGCTGTACAGACTTTGTGTCTGGTTAAATTTTTGGTGCATGATGTTTTTATTTATTTGCAAGGTTTTTTTTTATAAGAAAGTTTATAAATTAAAAGAAAAAAGAATGTAAGGCAAAAATATTCCTTCTGGGTGTCACGTGTGTGCTCTCTCTTGCCCATGTGAACAATCGCTTCCTTCAAATCAGCGTCTAACACCCTTGGTGTTCCCTTTGCTGCCTTTGTGCATGAATCCACAGACTGGCTCCGGGCTCCACCTTTGCCATTTTGGGATTCAGAAAACCCTGAGAAAGGGGGTCTCTGCAAAGCCACCTTGGCACCAGCTCCAGCTGGCATGGAAGAGGACTCTGATGAGGACTAATCTTTTCTCACAAGCTCACTAACTTAAGACTCTCAGGCATGGATTCCAGATTTGTGCCCATTGGGACAAAAGAAGCATAGTCAGAAATGACCGCAGTTTAGAATAGTGGGGAGCCTTTGGGTAGTTGATGTAGTGGTCCCCCTTGATGGATGCTGAGACCAATGGGAGCCGTTCTGCACCGCTACTTCCCCAGTCCGTACATGGACTCCACCCAAACAGAAAGAGTGGGAAATGGGGCCGGCCTATGGAGACTTAGCCTGCTCCATTCATGAGATCCATGCTGGCCAGGGAAGAAAAGAAAGCCTCTCTGTTTAGATACTTCCAGGAACACCCCAGAGTGAGGCTGTGTGCTCACTAATGGGTGCTTACACTCCAGGAATGGATAAAAGGCAAAGCCGCTTGCCAATGTGGGGAGCATACTCTAATGAAAGTTTAAAGGCTCAGATTCGCAGTTCAAAGCCAATTAACTTCCTTCTCACCATCCCCTCTTGTGGGAAAGCGAATGACTAAGAGACAAAAGAAACTCAGTATGAACTTCAGAATAAATGAAAAAAATGCTGATTTCTTATGCAAATAAAGTCATTTATACTCAAATCTAACTTTTTTTTTAAAGTTGCATTCTTTCTATGTCAGAGGTCCTTTGTTCATATCCTTGCAGAAAATTGAGTACCTCATTGAATGTGCCTGAGGAAACCTAGTGTCTGTCCCCAGCCATATTCTTCCTCTAGGGAACGTATATTCTTAAACCATGGGTCAGTAGATAAAGAAAACAGACTCAGATATCCAACAGTTGTCATTATGCTTGCCATTTCTTGTGCAAAATGGAGGGATGAACCTCTCAGGGGATCCCCAGCAGACATCACTGAGGTTGGAGAGGGCACGTTTATCAAGGGGGAAGTCTTGTTAGGGTGAGTGGAACCTGGTCCAGGTGCCACCTGGAACCTGCCGTTGGAAGGATGGGGTCCAGGAAAGATCGAGGGGTGAAGAGGGATGGGCAAAGTGAAAAACGGAGTGGGCAGGCTGGAAGTGAGGAGGGGGATGGGGAAAGAGAAGGAAGAGAGAGGCAGAAATGATCACCAATCATAAGTCAAAATCAACTCAGAAAAGCCAAAGTCGGGCACATGGTTACATACGTAATCTGATTTCGCCAGCATACTTACGAAGAATGACGTGGGTGATAACGAATGCAAATATAAAGACTGTCAGAAAAGACAGGGATAAAATAAACATATAAAAAAATCTGTAGTTTCTTTTCCCCACACAGTTGCCTACCCAGGGACAGTGGTGATCAAATCGCTCTGAAATGAGAAGCAGAAAAAAGAGAAGTGCAATTCAATTAACAAGAACTCTGTTGACACGAGGGAGCCCCTCCGTCCCTCCCACAACACTCCAGTGATAGAACAAAGCGATATCATACTGTGTATTTCCAAATGCCTATTGACGTCGAAACGTTTCGGGAACATAACCAGGCTTCCAACAGAACGCAGGTGTTTTGAAACACCAGATGTGGATCCCCCTCAAATGATTATTTAAAGAAGTAGTAGGGCACATTCTCAAACTCAGGAGTAAAGACTCAATTCTTCCTCAAAAGAAACCTTTGTGTTCACAGAACAATTTTCCCTTAAATGGTTCCAATGCCATCTGATGACAGGGACTGGGCTGAGTTGGGGCTGAGTACGTCATTGGGTGGCCTCCTGCTACAGTGAGTGGTTACAGAGTCATAATGGGCCTCGGGCAGGACAGAGAGACAATCCTTTGTTCTCCCATCCCAGTTATAACCACTTAACATAAACTAGTCCCATACGCTGATACATTCCTATCGGGAAAATGATGTCACTATACTTTCTTACAGACAAGCAAAACGAGGCACGAAGAGACAGGAGACTGTGTGCAGAGGCAGCCAGTTCAGCAGCAGAGTGATCAGCCCCGAGGCCAGGCCTCTGGAGGTACCTTGTGTCCTAGCATGTACACGGCCCGTGGACCTTCATCATGGCAGCAAGCTGGGTTTGGGTATTGTATGCCGTTACTCCACTGTGCCTAAGTGCAAGCCTTCGGGCTTCTCCTCTTGGGAAATTCACACCAAGCCTGCAATGCATCTGCCATTTGTTCTTCCTCTCAGGGTGATGATGGCAAAGCGCTTTCTCCTACTCTTCAGCCGATCCTCTGTGCAGACTGACGGTGGCATGCCATCCTAACAACCTACTCACATCAGACCACCGGTCGTGAGCTGGGAGATGCCCAACACTTGACTTAGCTTCCAGTTCTTTCCTCAGCTTACTCACTACCCCATTTCCATATTTTATCTCTCTGTGTGGCCTTCACCAGACATAAAGGGAAGGTGCTGCCCAGTGTGAGTTCATAAATAAAACACGACAGAGGTGGCCGAGGTGGTAAGATTCAGGAGCCACTAGCTGTGGATCCAACCCCACTCCATGCCGTTTGTTGCAAGCGCACAAGGACACCTGGGTGACGGTGGTGGTCTAGGAAATGGAAGGGACACTGGCCTGCAAGCAGCATGAGCAAGAAGCAGTCATGGGGAAGAGAGAGCAGCAGGACAAATTTCAGAGCTCAGTGGCCTGGTGACAGAGCCAATGGCCCAAAAGATAAAGACCCTTAAGGAATGTGTGTGGCCCTGGGAGTTCCACATAACACACACTGTCATCAAACACGATCATAGAAACTGCCTCACTGTGGCCAAGGGAGGGTGGGCTACACAGGCAGAGTGTGGAGACTCTTTAGGGCCGTGAGAACCTCCTGGGTAATGACAGATGCCTCTTACGCCGCCAGCTATTTGTTCAAGACTGCAGGACCTCTAATCTCTAACGCAAGCCATGGACTCTGACAGTATGTCAACACAGGGCCATCAGTCCTAACAAACATGCTCACTCTTTGGAAGTGATGGAAAGGCTGTGTGTGCACAGGGGGTGGCGGGTGGATGGGAACTCCTGTATCTTCCTTTCAGTTTTTCTGTGAGTCTACAAGCAAAGCCTTCAAAAATTAAACGAGCAAACATCATGTCCCCAAGTCATCAGTCCGCCAGCTGTAAATTGGCAAGTCTGCACGGTGAAGAATGGAAAAAGGGGAAGAATATCTGCACCAGACAGATTTTCCTCAAAACGATAAAGCTATTATTTCAAACAACGACTTTTCCTCTTGGTAAACGACTTCCCTGAGTGCGGAAAATGGGACTGAGGGCAGAAGCCAGGAGCTGATAAGCACATGGGGGATCAGAATCTGCCGTCAATAGTGCACCCTGGCTCTGCAGATCCTGTGTAGAGATGGAGCCTCTGAATGACAGGGAAACAGCTCTCAGCAAAAGCCACATGCCATGTGCAGAGGAGCCGTTAGCATCCAGAAGCCGCAAGAGGACAAGCTTTTACTCTGTGTGGCCATTTTCTCAGGGTAGGCCTTTCAATTTTAGCTCAGAAATCGTTAAATCCAGCCAAGCCATGCTGCGGAGCTCTCTTGACAGCAGAAGGACAGACAGCCAAGGATGACCCAATGAGTCTTATGGGTTCCAGGAGGCCTCTGGGAAGCCAGTGCTTTCGGGGTGGGGCTTGGCATCTGGCTCTCCCAAAGCCTGGCCTGGAAGCCATTTCCCTTAGAAATGTGTCTTGCTGAAAACTCTCTTGGCTGATAAAGAGTAAAACTGCAGGCCCACTGAGCAACATGTTCGCCACGGACTGTTTCTCACGTCTTCTGCAGATACTGAGTTCACGATGTCTACTGGGTCTGAAGCTCCCGTAGGCCCCCCCATGTGGACCTGGAAAGCACAGTATCAAAGGTCTGTGAAGGAGCCTGGAGGTTGCTATCTACTCTATTACCCCAACCCTGTGCTCACAGCATCCCTTCTTCCCTTCCATTGCCCACGAGTAGAGGGGCCCGGCATGCTTCTTTCTCTTCACTATGGACTCTGTGCACAGGTAAATCTTCCATCTGATTTCATCAAGAGCCAACTGTATATTGACAATGCCCAAATGGCCACTTCCCACCTTCAGCAATAGATGCCTGCTAGACCTGGCTGGCATCTCAGGTATGCCTTTTCCCAGAAGACTTCCTGTTGCTCTTTACCAAACATGAGCCTCTCTAGACGATTATCCAGCCAGCTACCCAACATAGAAACCCATTCACAACCACTGACTTCATCCTTCCGTCTCCAGCCATATCCAATCTACGAGCAAGTCCCGTGGGCTCTGGCCCACTTTCATTTGAAAAGACACTAGATTTTATTTGTTCTCAGCTGCCAAAATATTGACTAGGCTCCAATCCAACAGATATTTACTAGAGGACTGAACATACCTGTGTGGTACCAGGACTTCCAGAGGTGATATGGTTAGAAACCCAAGACATTCTCTAAAATGATGAGTTAGCTGGCCGGAGCATCCTGACCATACCTCCGATAGCATTCTGCTGCCCTGCAGTGGTCTAAGGACCTTATCTGTCACCCCACCCTCCTAACCCCCCATGATTCCTGAGGGCAGGATGGGGGCTTTTAGGATCATCTCTCTTAACCTGGCACCCAGGAGACTTGTAATAAGTATGCATCATTTACAGGAACAAATGACTTCCAGTGCCTGTAGCAGGCTCAGGAATGTGCTGGTGGGCAGCTGATGGTCTTGAACAAGGGTGGTGGAAGGGAAGTTACTGGGTATGTCCACAGGGAAATACAAGGTGCCCTGGCATACGGCAATGCTCAGCCAAGCCGGGGGCTGGATAATGCACTGAACAAGCTGGCATCATGAACCAGCGGTTAGAGATGGATGTGTGAGGCAAGGCAGCTTCATTTAAAAGCTCTTCTGTGGAGACCCTGGGGAGACCCAGAGGATGTAAGGATACCAAGTCACCTGCCTCAGATCCTAAGCAAGCTCCCAATGGTGTCACAGGGAGACACCACTCAGGAAAAGGAAATAAATTGGCTCCTACCTTGCAGCCTTAATTTATTAATGATTACAGGAGGCTTCCAGCCACACATACAGTTCCAGCTAGAAGCAGTACTTTCTATTCTATTGGACAACAGACTTGTGCCATCTCTCCGTCCTCTATTTCACAACCCAGGAAGCCCTGAGGAAGGTGAGCAACCTGAACACCAGTGGACCAGCCACTCTGGGACTCTGTGCAAGACACGTAGTCTCTTCTCTGATTAAAAGAAGACCTGGGAGAGGTCAAATGTGAAAGAGACCTAAGGGACAGTGGAGCGCTGGTAAAGCTGGACAGGAACTGGGAAGTCACCAAACCAAGGAAAGGAAAATGCTTGTAAAAGTTGTGTTTGAAGGATGCCAGAGAAAAGAACAAATTTGAAAAACAAAACAAAACAAAAAACAGAAAAAAATTGAAACTTCCCAGAAGTTGGGTTCAAAGTGGGATTTAGTACTGTACTGGTATGGCCTGGGGTCCCTGTGGGTGATCTGGAGCCAGAATTCAGTACTGTATCAGTGTGGCCTGGGGTCCCTGTGGGTGATCTGGAGCCGGGATTCAGTACTGTATCGGTGTGGCCTGGGGTCCCTGTGGGTGATCTGGAGCTGGGATTCAGTACTGTATCGGTGTGGCCTGGGGTCCCTATGGGTGATCTGGAGCCTGAATTTGGCCTTTTCTTTTTTCTTTTCTCCTCCTACCCTCTTCTTTTCAGAGACAAGGTCTTATTATGTAGCTCTGGCCTGAAATGTGCTTATGTAGATCAGGCTGGCCTTCAACTCACAGAGATCCATCTGCCTCTGACTCCCTGAGTGCTGGGATTAAAGGCGTGCACCACCACCCAGATAGAAATCTCCTTCCCTAGCCACAGAAACAAGCAGTCTTAGTTCCCTGGAGTGACTTGAGAATTCTGTGACACCAGAGAGCTGGGAACCACAGCGGAGATGTGAAACCTCTAATCTAAATGTTAATTGCATCCAAATTAAGTTAAATGTTTTTAAAGATTCGAAGTGGAAAACTGCTTTTCTTTAAACCTCAGGCCGTTTTGCCTCCAACACCAGGAGAATTTCCCCTTCTAAGGTATTTTTTTGTTTGTGTTTTAGGACAAATGTGAGACACAGCGACACGCATCATTACTTGGCCCTATGGGTTACAGAGCAATCCTGCAGGAACAGCTGGAAATGAAGCCTAGTGAGGCTTCCAGGACCGAGTCTTCGTCACTAGAGAGTTTCTATTAGCAGTTGCCCTCTGCACTCGAGGGTGGGAAGGTTTTGGAAAAGCACCCTTGCATCCGTCACTTTGAGACCCTTGCTTTTGTACGGCCTAGGCTCCCACCTTGCCAGGATCAAGGCATTGTGCAAAGCACTTAGCATAAATCATGTTATTT